TCCCACGAGCGCCCCCGGCTGTACCTGTACCCGGTGCATCAGATACGGAGAGAAAAGCCCCTTACTGAGAAGCACAGGGCGAGACGGAGAAATAGGGGCAAAAGTTCTCCGGAGAACATTCACTCAGTCCACAAACATTAACTGGGGGGTGGAGGGGGCATTAAACACACACACACACACATCATGTGAACACGGACCACACGCGAACACACCGCAGTGGCCGCCGTCCTTCCTTCTGCACATCCCCCCGGCTCCGCGGGAAAGCGGGCGGAGGGTCATCTCCCGGGCACTGAAGGGCGAGCCGGCTGAGCAGGCGACAGTCAGCTGACCCTGAAGGGCCCGGGGAAGGAGCGGGGGGAGGAGCTGAGAGAGCGGCCCGGAGGGAGGCGTGGCCCGGTGTGGTGGGGGACCAGCACAGGGAGGCCGGCTGGGGCCGGGATCCTGTGAGCCGTGATCGCACACACGGCTCGTACGACATCGGCGCCCGGGCCACGTTCCCACGGAGCTCGGGGGATGAGGGAGTGGCAGTGGACGCGGGGCTGGACCAGGCGCCGGGACCACGTGGCCTGCGTGGGGCAGTGCTGGGGGGCCGGCAAAACGAAGGCTGCGGCCGGGGTGGGGCCGGCAGCCAGCAGTGGGTGGGGGACAGTGGCCACAACCCTGCTGGCGGGCAACCTCGGCCGCCACCACCCTCCGCAGGGCCAGCACGCTGCGCCCAGCAGCCACCAAAAGCTCCCGGTCAGCTCTGGGGGTGGAGACGCTGTTCTCCTCCCGAGTCGGAGAGGAAGGCGAGGCCCGCGGCCTTCAGCCAGGCACCCCACTCACACGCGTGTGCATGCGGGGGCCACACTCGCCCGGCCGTCGGACAGGCCCCGTCCGAGCGTGGAGTGCAGGCTCTGAGCATCCCTCCGCACAGCTGCCTGGGAACTGACCCGGGGACCGAGCGCTGGGGGCACCGGGGGTTGGACAGGGGTGGGAGGAGGCACCGCTGGTGTGCCTCTCAGTGAGGGTGTGGGGCGGGGCGTGGGGGGACGAAGGACAGACACGCCTTCCGGGCGCTCTGCAGTGCAGGCCGTGGAGGGGCGGGCCCGCAGGGGCAGGAGGCCCGCCGGCTGACAGGCTTGCGTGTGCCCTGAGCATGGCAGCAGTGACGGCACCGCCTCTGGCTACGGGCGGGCCCGCACAGCGGAGGGAGCGCAGGGGGCAGGGGGCAGGGGGCGGAGAGAGCTGGCCCGTGACCATAGTGTGGCTCGTTCATCGGGTGAGAAACAAAGACAGATTAGGGGAGCTGGACACCCATGGGGGGGTGTGTCTGGGAAGTCCTTTCCTGATTGCTTCCGTGCTTAGAGCGAAACAGGAAGCAGCAAGGGTCGGGATTGGGGGAGAAAGGTCTGGGGGTTCAGGGGAAAACAAGGTGAGCAGGCGGGGCAGGGGAAGGGCGGGGTGGGGAGGGACAACAGTCCTGCTCGTGAATTAAACCAGAGCGTGGACCCTCCGTCCCCACAACAGCCGCCGCTCACTCGCCGAAGCAAACTGTTCGCAGGAGAGCACCGCGTCTGAGTTTCCGTGGAGACCCCCAGAACGGAAGCCCTGCGTCGACGATGCTCTGAGGCATCGGTGTCTCATGTCATCGGCGAGCCTCATGTCATGAAGAAAGTAGTTCTGCAAGACCAGCAGCGAGGGGGGAGGTCACAGCGTTCTCACGTCCAGAGTCTCACCCCTCAACGCAGGCCTCTGGGAGGCAGCAGCCCGACCTTGCTGCAGGGCCACCCACATTGTCCCTCCGGGCTCCCTCCCCCGGGGTGTGGGACCCACCAGCTGTCACTGGAGCTGAAGGAAGCAGCCACCCACCTCACCCCCGGGCTGGGGGGCTCTGAGACTGCAGGGTCCTTGAACCTTCCAGCAGTGGGGCGTGGGGGGCAGGAGTGGCCGTGTTCCTGCCCTGGGGTCCGGCTGCCTCCCTCTGTCTCGGGCAGCCGAAGTGCTACCCTAGACACCTTCAGACCCCAAATAATCAATAATCAGAGCGCAAGCCGGGTCATCACTCCTCCCTCCGATCGCTCCCTCGCAGGGGGTCTCAGAACCGCCCTGGTCTCAATCCTCCCCCATCCCGTTTCCCGCGACGGGAAGAACGCGAGCACACCGCAGCCCTGGTCACTCAGCGACTGTAAAGCAAACACCGCGTGACGTTTGCTGGAAACTTCCGCTGCCCGGAATCGGCCTCAGTCAAGAGTAAATATTTTTACTATTTCTCTGCCACCATCTTTTTACAGTTTGCATTTTTTAAAAAACTGAAATAAACCCACGAGCCCGTACACGAGGGTCCTAAAGAGATGAGAACACGCAGGAGAAACATCCAAAACGCCCTGTCGCCCTCGAGGCCTCGGTGGAAGGACCCCAAGGAAAGGAGGAGGGGGGCGGGGCGGGGAGGGAGGGAAGAAAAGCCGGCGGGAGAAAATTACCCCTCGGCCCAAGAAGCGGCAGCAATGCAAAAAAATAACAATGATAATAAACACACGCACATCCCGCGGCCCCGCACGCTGGACCCTGAACTCCCGCTGTGCTGAGGACGCACCCCGCGGCGGGCGCCAGGGGGCGGAGCACCCGTCCCAGAACGAGGGAGGGGGGACGCGCGGCGCGTGCGCGTCGCTCCGCACGGTCGGTCCACGGCACGCAGGCCGCGACGCCCTTGGTGTTCGGTGGGTGTCCACGCCGACGGCAGCGGCGCGGCGCGGCCCGAGTCGCCGGCTGGCCGCGCGTGGCCACATCACACTGTGAGCGGCCAGGGGTGTGGGGCAAAACCAAGGAGGGGCAGGGCTGTGCCCCTCAGCCCGTGGAAACAGCCCCACCGAAGGCCGACACGTTCGTCGGAGACTTCGTGAGCACGGGGACTCTGCGCCCGGTCAGGCCGCCTCTCTCTCTCACCGCCTCGCACCCCCGTGTGGATCGTACCCCACCCCCCAATGTGGAGGCCGGGAGCTGCCCCCGCCCCGCACCGCCCCCAGTGGCCGGCGCCAGGTCCACGCACAGGAGCAGCAGCAGCGGCAGCAGGGGCGGGAGGAGGGGCAGCGTGGGAAGGGAGGCCAGCCAGGTGGACACGCCCGGCCGCCCCCACCGGCTCACCGGCGGGGGCGAACATGAAAGGGCCTGGCTCTTCTCCTTGGCAGCTCCGGACTGCTGCAAACTGTGAATCTCAGAACTGTAACACGCGTGACCTCGTTTTCAGAGGTGTTTCTTTTGCGGTCTTTGCTGGTAACGATGTTATAACAGGAAATGAGAGCTTGTGTCTGTGTGTATAAACTGGCCCCGAGCCCTGGTTGTGTCTAGCAGGCGCTGCGTCCTGCAATCTTGGTAATTCATGACGGTAACACGAGACAGAGAGCGCAGACTCGAGAACCCCAGCGAGCATCCTGAGGTCAGAGCTGCTGCAGGGTCTGTCTCCGAGTGAGTCCCGAGGACCAGGCGGGGACCCCAGGAAGCCGGGCGGGACCGAGTCCATGCGGGCGAGCTGCCCCCTGCTCGTGTGCCCGGGACTGGCTGGCTCGGGGACATTTCCGGCGGGGCCCTGCCCCACGCAGCGGGGGCAGCACTCCACAGGGCCCGCGCCTGGGTGCACAGGGCCCCTCCCCCGGCAGCAGGGCAGGTGAGCGGTCCCAGGAAAGGATGCCACGGTCCCGGAAATGCCAGGAGGGACACAGGAGGCCCGTGCCCTCCGGCTTCCAAGAAAGGTAGTGCGTGTGAAAATGGGGGGGGCGGGGGCCTTCCGGGGAGAAGGGATTCTGGACAGAGGCCGTCCTTTGGAGGACGGCAGGGTTCCTGAAATCGGAGAAGGCAGGGGTGGGGCTGGTGCGCGAGGAACGAAGTCGCAGAGGCCAGTTGCAGAGCCAAGGCCGTTGTCCGCGGGCGAGTGGGCGGTATTCCCGCCACCACACCCCACGGACACAGGTCCCAGAGCTGTCAGTAGATGGCCTTGTACGAGCAGAGAGAGGGGGTCCCCTGGTCGGGACGGGGTGCAGGATGCTGCGCCCGGCCTCCCCCTCCTCCCCTCCCCCTCCCGAGGGAGAGGCCAGCACGTGGGTGCGGCAGGGGCTTCTCCCACGTCTCCCAAACCCGCGTGAGCACGGAGCTCGGCTGAAAGACCTAGCAACCCTCACACGACCCCAGGATGACCCGGTAAGCGACGCCGAGACGGGTCGAGCAGCGCAGACTTTGTGGGGGGGATCTGCCGCACGAGGGCGCCCACTCGGGATGCCACGGAGCCCCAGCTGCGCCGGGTGGAGGGCACACGCCCGGGCCGTCGTGAGCGTCAAGGGCGTGTGCACGTCTTCCACCGAAGCGCTCTCACCTCCTCTGCGCTACAGGAGACCAAGCAGCGGCCCAGCAGGGGAGGCACCACACCGGCCAGAGCGCGCGAGGTGGCGCTGCCGGAAGGCGTCTGGGGACGACGCAGGGTCCCCCGCCGAAGCGGACACGGGCACACACTCCACGGGCACCCCCACGGCCTGGGCCCCGCCGCCTCTGCGGGTTCCTCTCCCTACCCTCCACATCTTTCAAGGTCACGCCACTGAGGTTAAAAGCTAAAGCTGGGCCCTGGCTGGCGCAGCTCAGTGGATTGAGCGCGGGCTGTGAACCAAAGTGTCGCAGGTTCGATTCCCAGCCAGGGTACATGCCTGGGTTGCAGGCCATGGCCCCCAGCAACCGCACATTGATGTTTCTCTCTCTCTTTCTCTTTCTCCCTCCCTTCCCTCTCTGAAAATAAATAAATAAAAACTTTAAAAAGAATAGTTTAAAAAAAAAGCTAAAGCTGCAACTTTGCTTCCACTCCTGCGCGTGAGAACACAGCACTCTGAAATACGCTCTGAAGGGGTAACCACTCCCACTAAAACCTGGGCACCCCTGAGAAGCAGACAGGCCACCGGGTCCCCAGACGGAGCGGGGACGTCACGTGGTGAACGCGGAGACAGACGTGTGCTCGCGCCGGCCCCGCGGGAACACCTCACCTGCGGCTGGAACTGCGGGACGGGCGGCCCCGGCATGCCTTGCGGCTGCTCATCCATCGTCCGAGGCCACGGGCACCTCACAGACCTGCAGAAACGCAAAGTGGAGATTTAAGTGGCGGCGTCGTCACCAGCTCACATGGCTCACCATCCAGGAACACCGCGAAGGGAGCCCCCGCCGGGCCGGCCCTGGGCTCCGCCCGGCTAACCCCGGCCCCACGCAGGACACAGACACTGGGCTGCAAAGGCAGCACGGCGGCTGCACCCCCCACGCTGCTCCCACGCTGTCCCCCGTGGGCCTGAGCTCTGCACAGCTGGGTGCCAGAGGGCCAACACTGGCCCCCGCTCCGATGGGGTTGGCTGACGGGGAAGCGAGAAGGCACTGTCACTTCATCACTCTCCTTGCCACGTGTGACGAAACCACCCCGGACGTGGGTCCTCCGTGTCGCACGTGTTTCCTTCCGCCCGTGTCCCTCTACGACCCTCCCAGCGGCGGCTCCCACTGACTGAGGACGAGACCTCCATCATTTTAATGGGGTCCAACACCTCTGCGTGTCGCGGAAGAACCCCCTCGCCACCCCGAGCTCCACGGGCTCCTGCCCTGGGCTTCTGTGCGTGGCCCTGCGTGTTCAGGCCCCCAGTCCGCCCGGCAGGCAGCGGCGCCCACCGCACACCTGCGGAGCGAGGGGGACGTGACCGGCCGGGGACGAGAGCACGGACGCCCGGGCTCCGGCTGGCCAGGCTGTTTGCCAGCACGGGTGACTGAGCAGGTGTGGGCGGTGGTGACGGAACTGGGGCGGGGGGGTGAAGGGTGGAACCCGGTGGGTGTCGGCAGGGCCAGCAGCAGGAGGAGAACGACCCGGCGGCACCTCGCGTGTGCGCGGCGGCCGACACCTGCCGCGGGACCCCTGCTGGAGAGGCCTCGTGCCCCCGCCCGCGGCTCCTCCTTAGCGGGAGCTTCTGGCTGCGTTTGGCACGGTGCCCTGAGGCGCACCCCCCGAACTATTCAAGAGCGCCCCATGTTTTGACGTATATTCACCAGTTCAGCACGCGGTGAAGTAAAACAATCTTCCCCTGTTCTGGGGTACAGCCACATAATTTGCAAAAAAAAAAATGACACTATGTAATGAGGAATCCGAATTTCAGACATAAAAGCTAACTCAATGAAAAAGTTCGTTTTAAGAAACTATCAGTGGGCTACATTTTTAATATTCACATGGTCCTGGTAAAGATTTATGAGTTAAAACACAGTACTCCGTATATATTATAAATTATATAACAAACACTACAGTCCTCCTGACACTGTGGCGGATGACCATCTTACTCTGAGGACTGAAGTAGCGTTCCACCGTCACACCCGTACACACCTGTCACCTTTCCTGCTTCCCATACTTTAATGTACTTATAACATTTCTAAAGCTCAGATCGTTATAACCAAGTTAAATCATGCTGTACACTTTTTCCTAATTATTTGAACCACAGGTTAATGGATTCAGCATAGCCAACATATTAATCAAATTAAGAAAATGTCTTCACTTTGTCCAGTATCCTCTGTGATACCAAACTTTAAAATTTCTACAGAAACTGACTTAAAATAAACCAACATACATTTTCAAAACACTAATCTAATTCTTTATCAATTATAAGAGTACTAAAACATATAATAGAGTAAAAAAAGATGAGGCTTAAATATATATTTGAAAGAAAAGCATTTGATGCATTTTATTTGTGACCCTATTTTTTTAAGTGTATAATATATATACACATATGTACACATATATACACATACACACACATAACTATTAGATAGAAAACGTGTTAAAATAACAGTTAATATCAAAGAATACTTAGCTAAAGCATTCTTTCCCTCATGTTGCAACAGAAATTTCTTGCCTGAAGACACAAAGGTCGATCTTACAGCCTTTCAGATGCAGCTTGTCACTGACAACTCAGGGTAACTCCGACTTAACGAGCAAAGGGTAGGCAGAGATTCTATTCGTCTGGAAGTACCCTCTGCTTGCAAACGTGTATTTTAATACTTCCATCGTGCTGTACAGTTTCTCTATAGATTCTTGGCCCAACATGGAATCTTAACTATGAAGCTGTGTACACACCAGTCTGAAGAGAGATTTCAGATGAACAGTTTTAGAAGTTTTTCTTTTCTGGGTGTTTTTAGAGTTCTAAAGAGTTGAAGTACACTTACTTCAACTTAAGTAAGTTCACACTTACTTAATAGTTTCCTTTTCTCGAAATGGGGTTGCCCTTCAATCATCAAGGTTATTCACAAAACCTCGAGTTACATATAATATCTAAAGTCTATGAAGAAAATTAATGTTGTATTTTACTGATCAAAACAGCTACACCGTATGAACCGCAATAGAGAGGACTGGCCGCATCGTAACAGCACCGGTGCCCTCGTCCGAAAGAAAGTCACGGGCTGAGCCCCACGTACGTGCAGCACCTGAAAGCTGCAAAAGGCCACCACGGAAATCTGAAGGTGACTGATACTTGGCAAGCTCCGCACTCAACGCCAGGACTAAATATTTGTCTTGGCCCCGAACTCGCCATTCAGCAGGACTGCTGCTGGCCTCACCCTCCCGTCTCCCTTTAACGGATGGACTGAGTCACGCAGCGCTTTTTCCCATCGTTCAGCGAGGAGGATTTCCACATCAGACGGGACAAAGGGAGCGAAGCGGAGGCGCCGGCACCAACAGTCCGTTCACGCACGTCTGTCCTCTGAGTCATGTTTCAGGGCGGCGCACATTGCGATCAGGTCTCCGGAGAGAGTGACTTATGCTTCTGGGGCGCCCGAGCACCCCGCTGGCAGCGAACACCATGGAGGCAGCCTGGTGCCCAGCCCCGCTCCCCACAGGCCCCCCTGCACTGGCAGGGGCCGGCCCTGCGGGCGGGGGGCCGGCCCTGCGGGCGGGGGCTGGGGAAGGACGCGAGCTGCCCCCACAGCTGCTGGGGGTGGGGGATGGGGGGGAGGGTACGCATGTGTCCAAGGGCCGCAGCCGGCGGGAACAGGTTCCCACCCACCACGTGCGGAACAATTTAAGACTAACACTATGATCCATTAAATAAAATAAAACCCATGAGTCATAAAGATATAAATCAATAACGAGAGGAAAAGGGAGAAACTCTTCCTTAGAAGATAGTGTCATCCTATAAAGAAAAAATGTGACGGAATTAAACATCCACTCTTTGGCAGTCTTCGGGGAAACACCTGATCCAGGTAAGACTCGCGGATGCATGTTCACTAGTGGACCAAGTTGTATCCAGGTTGTATATTTGCACACACACACAACTCATTTCTTAATGACAAGGGAAGAGACGATCCCACAGCGGAGAACCCCGCAGACCTCCCCTCAGCCAGAACGTCAAGTCGCACAGGCGTCTCTCGCCTCCAAACACGAGCCCCTGGGAAGAAAACACTCGTGGGCTGTTCTTGCCCACACGGCGAACACGGAGGAGCCCGGCCCTGGGGCCTCCCCGCACCCACTGTGTGGAGTGTGGGCGCACCGGCTTCCCGGGTGGGGCAGGGACGACCCAGGCCCCCCTGACATTCACACACACACACACAGCGGCGAGTTCTCACGTCATCTGGGTCCCCACGTCTGGGAGTGGGGTTGCTGAGGAGCGCTGGTGTCCACTAAGCCAAGGTGCAGGGGAGACAGGCCAGTGCCAGCAGCGTGGCAAGGAGGCCAGCACGACGCGCCCCTTCCTGCGGTCTCTGGGGACCTCCTCCCTCGCGCGCTCATTGTCCCCGCTCCCCCGAGACCACCGCATGAGACCGAACGCCCGGTGTGCCTCCCGGGTCTGTGTCCTCGTCCAGCCGTCACGTGAGGAGGAGGAGGAGGAGTGAGGGAGAGCATTCCCGATGAGACGATGGTGCATGGACGCAGACCTCGCCTGCCCCTGGCCATCCGTGGGCCAGCGCGGGTCTGACATAGAACAGCTCGTCGGGTGCGGGAAGAATGGGAATGCGCCACTTTCGCTGGGGAACCAAGCCCATTATTAGACCAGCGTTCACGAACTCCTACCTCTATTCCTACAGAAGGAGCATGGTTGTCGACTAGCCACAGGAATGGAATATTGGGAGAAGCACAGCACGGAGAACCAAAGGAACCTTTAAACTGTTCGGTAGGAGCGTCACTGACATGGGATAACGTACATGAAATTTTTTTTCAGGACACTGAAATGAAGGAAAGCTCCCAACACCCTTTGGACTAACCCTTGTGGGACCTGCCGCTGTACTGCAGGCGTGTTCTCAGAAACTCGGACCCCTCCCCGTTCGGGCGACCCTGAGAAAGGAGGACCCCGCACGGAAGGCAGAGCCCCCTCCAGCCCCCCAGCATCCCAGCAGTTGTGCGCACCTCTCTGCAGAGCAACAACAAAAGGGTGATCACAGCTAATGGTTCGATTTCGGTCCTTGCTGACACCTGCTGCTTCCACTTCCCTTCCTCCGTCATGAACACTTATCTGCTAAGAGTTTTAGGTGCAAAGGCTTTGTATCTGCAGCACGTGAAACAGGATCCTTAGGCTGATCGAGGGGGCAGAGACCCGAACCCCACGTGAGCACACGTCAGCCAGCTAATCGGCCCCCATACCTGCGGACCCGCCGAAACCGGTCCCTACTACAATCGGTGCCCGGCGCGTTTACTTAACACAGACTTTCTGTTAGTTACATTTTTTAACTTAAACTGCAAACGCCAGCAGGGCTTGTTATTAAAACCAAAGAAAAAATGCCAAAAAAATGGAAATCTCTAAAAATACTATCTAGGGAATTTTGTTTGTTTGTTTTTGCAAACTCAAAAACCTATACTGCACTTGTAAACTAAGACAGTGATATATGGCCCTGACTGAGTCCCCAAAATCCCACTCCCCCCTTTCTGCTAAACCCACACTGTGGACCCGCACAGGAGACAGCAACGTCCCCACCACAGAAACTCGTGCGCCTCCCGGACACTCAAGCAACAGAGTCGTCGCCTGCTGGTCGGCCGCTCTGCGGCTCGGCCATTTCGGGGAGCGTGAGGACCCGCCTCCTCCGGGGATCAGGGGAAGACACCGGGAGCAGGTCCAGGTGAG